AGAAACTCTAGGGATTGCTCTTTTCAAATAAACTTAAATGCTATGGAATACACTTTGAATCAAATTTGTGTGGATTCTGGAGCCATGTCGTCTTTCCATACATCTTTATCTAACACGTAGTCTTCAATTTTGTAATATGATTTTTCGATCAACATATTTTTAATGTAGTTTTTAAACTTAGGAAATGATAAACTTAATATATGCTCCGGAATCTTATTGTAAAAACGTATACAGTTCCCCATAAAAGAGTTGTTTACCTTGGTTAAACGAAATCGTGGTACCATGAGTTTGGATTTAGCTCTAAGGTTAATATTATGGATATCTTCTTTCTTATTGAAATTATGTATATTTTTACGGGCATATAAAATATTTGAGTAAATGTACTGCGATGCCACAGTCATGATACCAGTCTCCTTAAACTTTTCTCTGAGAGATACCCGAGAGCCTAGACGGTACACAGAACGAATCGCTCGTTTTTGCAATACAAATATGGTTTGAATATCTGCCGCTTTACCCCACATGAGAATCCCGTAGGACATTATACTATGGAAGTAACTAAAGTAAACTAGTCTAGCAGTACTAACATCGGTAAGCTCACGTATTCTGCGGACTGCGTATGCAGCGGAGCTTAATCTGCTGGCCAGGGACGATATATGTGGAAACCACTGAAGTTTACTATCTAAGGTCACTCCCAAGAAGACTGCTTTATTAACAAGGTCTAACTTTTCTCCGTTTATTTCTATGCTTGGACTAGTCGATTTTACGTTAGGTAATTCAAATTTAACACATTTTGTCTTCTTGGCATTAAGCAATAAATTATTAGCATTAAACCAATAAACTACCTTAGAGAGGGTATCATTAATACGGTCATGGTTAATGTCATGTCTGTCTGTTTTAAAAATCATGGATGTGTCATCAGCAAACAACACTATTTCGCAATGGTCCTTAACAAAGAATGGCAGATCATTAATATAAATCAGAAATAAGAAAGGTCCAAGTATTGAGCCCTGCGGAACACCCATTTTTACTGGAGAACCCAAAGAAGTTACTCCATTTATGTCTACTTTCTGAATTCTACCGTTGAGATATGACGAGACAAGTTTCGACGCCTTGCCATTTACACCGTAATGTTCCAGCTTCCTAATAAGAGTATTATGATCAACGCAATCAAATGCCTTTGAGAGGTCACAGAAAACACCAATAGCGTTCTGGGACCTTTCCCAAGCATCAAAGATGTGTTTTAGTAACGCTACCCCCGCATCGCTAGTCGATCTACCACTAGTGAACCCGTATTGTTCACTATGAAAAATATGATTCCTACCGAAAAAGGACAGTAATTGAGTTAGCATAACCTTTTCGAATATTTTACTTAAAGCTGGTAAAATTGAAATGGGCCTATAGTTGCTAGGATCAACTTTCCTACCGCTTTTGAATAAGGGAATAACCTTGCTGTATTTCATTAAATCGGGAAAAATACCTTCGTCAACGCACCTATTGAAAGCTACAGCTAACTGTTGGGAAATGAGATTAATAACTGAGTCTATAACTTTAGTTGATATGCCCCAGAGATCTTCAGTTTTTTTAACATGTATTGACTTAAAAGCTTTTATGATGTCTTGTGGATTAACATGACGAAAATTAAATAAACTGCCACAAACGTTAACATTTTCCTTTAGGAGATCAATAGCAAGTGAAGGGGAGGAATTTAATGATTTTGTAGTGTTCACAGCAATTTCCGAAAAGAACGATTCAAAAGCTTGGGCTACTTTATCTTTAGATTTTATAAGTTTGCTGTCTAATTCTAAAACTATATCTCTATCGTGTAGTTTAACCCTGCCTGACTCTTTATTTATTATGCTCCAAGTAGTTTTAGATTTATTTATCGATTGTCTAATTTTGTCGCTGTGAAACTTAACCTTAGCAGCTACACAAACTTTTTTAAATATTTTCGAATAAATTCTAACATATTCTATAAAATTGGAATTATTATTATAAGTTTTCATAGCATATAGCTCATACAAACGAGACCTACTCTTATGAATACCTACTGTTGCCCAGTCGTTGAATTTAGTCTCTCTATGGAAAGTTAATGTTTTCGATTTAAATATATTGTCAAATTCATTTTTAATTAAACCAAATATCGTGTTATATAAAGTATTTGGATCCTCCGGTATATGGGATAGGGAATTTAAACTATTGCCGATATTATTTTGAAATCTAATTATTCGTTCTGTGGTAATCGGTCTGCAGAGAAATTGGTCTACCTTCTTGCTCATTTTACAATTAAAAGAAGCCAATTGGCCACTATGGTCGGATCTTAAGCAATTAATTATTGATTTAGACACTGCGTCTGTGTTACAAAAGATGTTATCAATACAAGTAGAAGAGGAGGCAGTAATGCGAGTTGGTTCTAAAAAAAGATTAATCAAGTTAAAACTTTGAAATAAATTAATGAGTCTTACAGAAGTAGAACAGTTTTCCAACAGGTTTACATTGAAATCTCCACATATTACTACGTTTTTTTTGGTTGGAAAAATCCGCTTTAATTCCGCCTCAAAAATCCGCCTATTTTGTGTGTGATATTTTTATATTTATATATGATAAATAACAATTCCAATTAATAATAGAAACCTTGGCCTACGTCTGCTCTTATTGTTATCCCTAATAAAGGGCTCATATGTGTAGCATTATTTTAATTTTAAGACATTGAACAAATTTTCAAAAAGGTTCTATTTGTGGTTGAACAGTATTGGTTTCTGTTTAATTGAACAACGAGTATCTAGAAAAGAGTAGATAGACCCCTAAAACTTTGTTTTTGTGTCTGTCACTGTCATCGAGTATACATATAACCAGAAATAGAGACGAAATAAGGGCCATCCCAGGCAAATCGGCTATGTATCACTTTTAAATATCAACTCTCGTTTGCGCTGAAATCACTAATTAGAAAGCTGAAATAGTACAGCGCCAACAACGGACCTGTGTGTACGTCTCCGTATATTCCAAAAATATTCTGTAGTTATTGTTTATGGTAATAAACATAATATCTCTAACAATGGGACTGTTCGATTCGGTGGTTTGGGAAAAACAGCAAAACAACTAATTACAAAAGAAACGGAATCACATTTCATCGGTAATGAAATGTTAAATATTATGTAATTTTCCATTTTCGTCCATTATAGCAAAGCATAAGTTAAACTGGTCTATTTGAAGTGAAACAATGGACGACACCCGTCAATTGTTTCGAATTTGGGCTGGCCAATCGGAGCGCAGTTGTCACCGTAATGATTTGGCAGAATAGTTTTCAAGCAAATTAAATGACATTTCGTCTCAATTTCTGGTTATATACTCGATGTACGTACTCGACTACAACAGAAGTCGCATGATGCAAATGAAGTTTCACCCTTAAGACTATCTTTTGATTTAGTCGAGACAAGACAAGAGGAAAATATTTAGTGTAACGTATTTTTAGTCATTACGTTCCATCTGGTGTCAAACTCTTTCTCTATTCAATCTTATCGTATCCATACACTATTCTAGCCCAGAACTCCTGCATGCTCGAGGATTTAATGGCGGCCACTGGCGACGCGCTAGGCGTGGCTGAGTTTTAGGGCACGATGTGAGGTAGACCATCGTTTGAATCGCACCGCACATACAATCCAGGTTAGAATCATCCGTAACACCTAAACAAATTGTCCTGAGTGCGAAGCCTGTTTAAAGACTTATTCCACATCAGCCATGGCAATTCGTGTCCAGGAAGACTGAGAAAACCGTGCAAAGGTAGACGATACTCTTTCGCGCCAAAGGTTGCTTGGTGGCTCAATGCTCAGAGGACCGACACATTTAACGAAGACTTTCCGACCTCTCAGCCTTCGTGATTACTTCACAGTGCATGTGAAGTAATCATTGTACAGGATGCCGAGTCTCGATAGCCATTTTGGCTGTTCCGCAAGAGCCCGCTATAGTTTTACGAATGTTTGATGGATCTATGCCAGCCAGTGGATTGCAAGTCTCATTTAAGGCTGTATCTATTAACTTTACATAGGTAGAAAGGCTCCAAACAGGGCATGCGCTTGCGTCAGCAGAAAAGGAAAGTGTCAGCCCAGGGAAGTACCTATGCATGACTTTAAGCGAAACTCGCTGCTGTAAATTATTGTGCGAATGCACACTTTTAGTCTTGACACTTTTAGGGTCGTATTCCAGAACTCTACTCAATACACAAGTCAGGACTTGAGTATTGCAGTGAGCACTGAAAATCATACTCAAGTCCTTGCCATTAGTGTCGTATTTTCAGTGCTTGAAATCATATTCAAGTCAGGATTTGAGTATGGTTTAAAGCACTCGAAATCATACTCAAGTCCCTGCCGTCAGGGTCGTATTTCCAGTGCTTGTGTTTCCAGTGCAATCCTGACTTGAGCATTGAGTAGAGTTCTAGAATACGACCCCTAGTCTTTTTTGAACGTGAGGGATGTATTCAATGAGTTTTAGTCGTCACATATAAAACATACTTAGACATACAATTAGCGAAGAATGTTACACTCAATTTACATTGCCGCGAAGCAGATTAGCAGCGAATTTTATGTCAACTGTTTTATATAAATATAAGTTTCTTTTGTGAAAGTTAATAAAGACATTTTCTTTTCAATTGTGTTACGTACGTACAAAACTACATACGAGATACGAGCCAGAGAAACAGGTCGCGCGTCTCCCGGAAAATTCTCGCGCAGTCTCGGGAATTCCCACAGCAACTGTATCGTATCTAATTTGTACGTTCCACAATTGACATAAAATTATTATTTTATATTGTCATGTATCCAAAGTTTATTACGTGTGTACAATTTCATTACAAAAATTCGCTTTCAGTCCGTTCCGCGCATGCAAGTTGTATCTTTGTCAATCTCAATTACGAGGAGCGATGCTATATTTATGCCAAGGTTGTCTTTCTTCCCATTGTCCCATAGACATTGGTTCTGTTAGGGGCAAAATGAAATTAATATTACTGTTTATAGACATTTATTGCAACGAGCCAGAATCCTAGCGCGCGGGCGGTAGTCATATGGTGGGCAGATGACTGCGTGCGTCCAGATCTGCCTTCTTGCCCTTCGGCTGCGCGCGCTCCGACACGATCAGCTGCGGCAGCAGGGGGGATGATTGCACCTGAAAATACATATTCTTTCTATTATGCATTACCTCGAAGAACTGAGAACTGTCGTCTGACTACCTTTAGGGGCAAGACATAGGACCGTAGCTCATAGATATAGACACAGTATTACAAAATCTTTACGATATCCCTACAGTAGCGCAGCGCGTTTGATATTTGGCGATTCCGCCACCTTCCTACTTACGACGTTGTCAGACACAGATATGCAATTGTCATAAAATTTATAATTATGGCAGTTTTGAAAATTCTAGCCCGTGACGAACAGTTAATCCTCACTTTCAAGAACTGAACGTGATCTTAATGTACCTCAACCATGAAATACTACCTTGAAACTTGAAACTCTTACAAATCATCGATTATAATACTGCGCTGACTACATCCGTAGGTATTCACCACTACAAATTGCACTAAGTATTAACAAATTCTTACTGGTGAAATTCAACGAATCACTTTTCATCTTCAAATTGTAACATTTTCAATTATTTCATACATCCCTTGCTTGCTCTTCTTCTGCGGTTCACTTGCAGACGAAGCGGGCTTGGAGTGCGTGCTTTTAGCCGCCTCATCCAGAGCCAAACGCTCGAAAAAATCTTGCTACAAAGCGAGAATGTGCATAATAAGAATATTATATACATTGACTTACAAATAAATGGACGACGGGTCTAATACAAAAACCACGAAAAAAATGTCCCAAGTCAACCTATTCGAAATTTAAATTGTTATGTCATCGCAGTATCGCGCTGTCCGTAGAACAAATGAAGACAAAAGCGGAGTTTGGCGCTCTGTATACGATTTTAGCGCCTTACAAGTGCGGACACTTTAGCGCGGACCCGACGTCCATATAATTGTAAGTCAATGATTATATGTGAATATATATAACATATAACCTTAGTTACATCGTCCCTGGAAAGGTAAAGCGTCTTAATTGCATTTCTAAAACATTACAGGAGAGCGATTTAAACTTTTTTTTAAAACAAAAAAGTCATAACGTATAAAATTAGATTCTAGTTTACCCTATAACAAATAAAGTTTAATTTTGGAAGTGCGCAACCCACCACGCCATTTCTTGCTTTTATGCGAGGTTATGGGGTTATTTCATCCCGTTTCTAAATGTCAGCTGCCCTAACCCTACTAAATTTTGTAATAAGGCAGTGTGTCCAATAACCTTAGTATTAACACCCACCTGAGCCCGCCTGGATTTTTCGTATTGCTCATGATTGGTCTGCGGCACGGTGAACAGAAAGTTTTCGAATATCGGGTGTCGGAGTAGCTGTTCACACGTCCACCGCATTATCGGATCCTTGTCTAGGCACTTCTGGAACGAGAACATAATATTCGTTACAATGACAACTTGGTTAAGTCATATCTTGTTAGTTACAAAAACCTACATAAAGAGGAATCATAAAATTCAATTATAAATTAAGCCCCTGGAACCTACGTGAAGAAAGTGCCAATACTTCGCAAGGTACTCCCAAATCAATCGCACAAGCCTAGATTAGTACTATCAGACCCGATGTCACCAAAACTCACAAATTCTTAATTTGAATTTGATGAAATTTTGATATCGATTGGTCGTAGTTCAAATTCTGGATTGTTAATATAATTTAAACTTTACTTTACTTTACTTTACTTTACTTTACTTTACTTTTGACCGCATCCCTTCTGCTCAGAATGCGTGGCAGTTCCAACAGCATTCTGAAAATGTTTGCGCACAAAACAGCGGAACCCATGCTTGAGCATTTTGTTGACGTGCTGGTGTAGCAAGCCACACCTACGCCTAGATAAAGACAAAGATAGCTCAAGCATGCGGTATATGTTTTACTCATTTTTATTTTATTTATTATTAATTGGTAAATTTTTCATACTTTCATTTTTAAATTTAATTTTTGATTTTTTAAATTTTTATTTGTACTTTTTAAAAATAATTTTAATTTAATTAAATTTTTTAATTTTTAACTTTTATTGTCAAAATTTTACAAATTTGTAACGTGAAATGTCCTAATTAGGTTCTGTTTAATTTTAGTTACTACTAACCTTAGTTTATAAATTTTCTGTAATTACTAACAAGTGGACCGTAGTTGTCCGAATAAAGAAATTTTATTATTATTATTATTATTATTATTTACCCTGTTAGTATATTGTTGACCTCAATACCTATTATTGCAAGCTGCGATGTTTTGATATTATATTGAAATTTCAATCAATGTGCTGCCATCTAGCGGTTAATCGCTGAACAATGATGAATCGGATTTATTCATTTAGTTCTCCAAAAAAGAAGCGACCATATTACCGGCAGGCTTATTACCGATCTTTAGCGACCAGTCGTTTTAGCAATAGTTGCACGATTATCGCTGTCAAAACATAAATTCGTATTACGGAACGAACAATTGCGACCAGTCGACTACAGCGCCTCCCGCGAGCAACTAATAAACTAAAACTGCATGAAAATGCTTTGACAGAAAGCGACCGGTTGCTTTTTCGTATTACCGAACCGTAATACCAACTTAGCAATCGCAACTGGTAGCAATCGCGTTGCTATTGTACAATTAACAACCGGTTGCTAAAGTTCGGTAATAAGCCTGAGGGATATATAAGCTTTACTTACGTTTCTAGTAGATACTTATTTTTGGAGCGGCTGTCATTTTTACAAACCAAATTTTTCTGGGATTTTAGAGAATTTGCACGAAAGAATGACACAACCGTACCATACAAAGCAAAAATGGCGGACTGCGCTCAAATAGGTCTTTCGAGACCTATTGTTGGCACGCGTCAGACGCTAACTAACCACTTCTACTGTCTATTTCTACTTCTGTGGTTAGGGCTCCAAGGAGGCAGCTCTTTTGCATATCTTCCTACAGAATCAGGACACGCTTTCGTTAATTTACTGAAAGTACACCTACAGGTAGAGAAGTTTTTCTAATGATCGAGCTCGGACCTAAAAATACCGTTACCCGAGTTAATACCCGAGTAACGGCATTTTTAACAGTAAATTACCAGCACGGAAAAGATGCTTTGTGCTTATGGTAACCCTGCGGAAACAACAACATTTTGGCAATAAATACAATCAAAGATTAATTTTAAAACTCCTTTTTTTATAACAGTTACAGCGCCACTCAGACCTTTAAATTGCAAAAAAATTAAAGACAGGGGCACTGCCACTGCGCCCGTCACCTGAGACATAAGTTGACAAGTCTCATGTGTCTGTAATTTCACCAGCACCCTTACCCTTCAAAACTGGAACACAGTAATGCTGACATTACTGCTTGGCGGCAGAAATAGGTAAGGTGGCAGTAGTACCCTGGACAAACTCTTTCACCTCTACTGCTACTAAAGCAGTTTTAAGCCGTCTCGTCTCTTTTGTAGCACCCTTGACAGAACTGTCGTGGTCATCAAGAAGTAAAGTATATTTGTCAGAGGTTGATGTGGCTCGTCACACGAAACCTAACAATCTCTCTTAGTTGGTGTATTTTCTGGTGCATGCATGCAAAGGCCCACAGCAGATTTTATTTAATCGGTCCAACGCATGGTTAACCTTCCGCGCACGCTAGTGCCTTCTTTACTGGCTTCACACAGCCCGTGATATCACAGGCCGTGGGAAGCCGCCTTTACTCAGCCGTGGACGACTTTGCTCTATGGAGTGATTATCCCACCATGAAACATGACCAAAGAATTTCAGGATGCGAGCTAATACCATAACAGATTCTTGGTTGACGGTTGGATGTTGATGATGATAATACTGCACTACTGGGCGAATGAGGATGATGATAATACTGCACCGACCTCAAGTAATTGCTTAAGGGACCTTAACTACATTGCTTACCATTAACGTTATCTAAGTTAGCAAGAATAAGTTACTTAACATTACAAATCATGTACTTAAAATTAAATGTACCTGCAGAAAATCTATAATCAGATCATTGTTTGCATATCTTTGAGGAATTTTTCTTTCCAGTGATTCGAATGTCGTCGGTTCTGGTAACGCCATACCCTGCAAACAGAGAAACAATGAATGCTTTGAAGGCAGAAGAACTTAATAGACGGTTTTACAGGCGAAAATTGAAAGTCGAAGCTTCTATTGTTTTGTTATAGGCAAGCGCCCAGGTTTTAGCCCGGCGAATGAAATCCGCGTAAATGTCGTGGCAACCAAATTAGCGTGATTTACGGGAATTAATTATTATCAGTCCGTAGACAACATAAATTAATGCATACTATACAAAAACGAAAGTCGTAGCCATTGAAATAACAAAGTAGTAACGTTAAATCCCTCTCCTCTGAAATTTGGCCAGGACATACGCGGATTTGAACTATCCCCGACGATAAGTCACTTTACGGCCCGACCCTCCTAACTTCGGGCGTGATATAAATTCCTTTAGTTAAGAAATCTTCTTAGATAAATACGTACTTCATAATATAATCATTCGGCCATGTTTCGACTACTTTACAGGCCCAATGGTCATGGGTGACTGTTTTTCCATTTCCAACTACGAATCATAGCAATAAACAGTATAGGACAGAATAAAAATTAAAAAGCAGACCTGGAAGAAGGTATTCTGTGAGAAAATAGTCATGTGTCGCGGTAACAAGTCACCGAGGGTCTTCCGTATCAGATATAATTGGTCCAAATCGCTCTTGCCTGGCCACAAAGCTTCGCTCGACAACAGTTCCGCGAATACACAGCCTGCGGAAAACGATAAAACGGTTTTTAGATTAATTTTGTTATTAGAAACTGTATGTAGGTATTTAGGTGATCATTTTAAAATTGCAAAAGCACCAGGCAAAACAATCTAAACGGTCATCTTATTTAATAATTGATCCTTTTTCTCTGAGGCATAAAATAAATTATATCAATGTATAGGCTTAGAATAATAACGCATAGAATGATAGTTTCATATCAGACGAACTGTCACAAGTGAGGCAAAAATCAAATTCATGAAGGCTAGTTTTAGTAGCAGGTTAATTTTCGGTTTTAGTGAATATTTATATAAAAATAGAAGTTGAAACGCGTTACTTCCTTGTGGAATGTGATGTTAGTATCTATTTTATGTTTGTCTGACGTATTTTTATACTCATTTACCGCACATTTCGTCATTTTTAGCTAAAATTCTTGAGCTGTTCGCGGTGCAAGTTGACCTTGAGCACTGAAGGCCCGCCCGCTCGTGTAGGCCCATTGGGCGCGCTTCAATTAGACTCACTTAGCGTGTGCGGACTAGGTTTCTATGCGTTATTATTCTAAGTGTATAGGTATTTTATGTTCTGAACTAGTGTTTGATTTGTATAAATTAACTTTGATAGTTTCGTCTTGAGCCTCAAAACTAAGACAATAATGAGCATTAAAACCTGAAACGGTTCTGGCACTCGCCGAAGATATTATCCCACTAAAAACCATAAAATACCTTGCAGAGAGCAGGTTTTTTTATGATTATTAAGGTAAGTAACACGCCTTTCTGAAATCTGAGGGGCTGTTCTTGCGCCTATCACCATGAGACATAAAGTTGACAAGACCTAAGTCCTTACCCTTCAAAACTGGACTTAAGGGATGCTCGTATTAATAATGGTTGGCGGCAGACCTACCTACCCTACCTACGCACATGGCATATTTTAGGCATGTTTTTTACGGCACCGCACAGACGCACTGTAGTAAATCGATGAAAACGCGCGTGAACATCGCGTTGCAAGCAAGAAACTTATATACTCCGTAGGATACGTGCACAATACCGGATACCCCGCTATAATGAAAACTAAACAACACCATCTTACAATAATAACATAAACAAAATCCAATAATAGTATAAAGTATCAAATATTTCGTCCTTATTAAACTACTTGCATGTCGCTTCTAGTTTTGGCCGTTCTATATATCTTTGTTAATTGTGTATAGCAATATTCACGTTAGCGATTCAACCAACTAACTCACGTTTAAATAAGCAACTACCCACTTAATGTAGAATAATTTTTACACCCAATCTTTGTCGTTCGATGTTTCAACTGTACTATATTTAGTTTTTTTCTCATGTTAAGTGAATGAAAATTCTTAGTGAGAAATAAAAATCTTTAAACCTAAACCCTTAGAATAATAACGCATAGAAACCTAGTCCGCACACGCTAAGTGAGGCAAATTGAAGCGCGCTCAAAGGGCCTACACGAGCGATCGGGCTGTCAGTGCTCAAGGTCAACTTGCACCGCGAACAGCTCCAGAATTTTAGCTAAAAATGACGAAATGTGCGGTAAATGAGTGTAAAAATACATCAGACAAACATAAAATAGATACTAACATCACGTTCCACAAGGAAGTCACGCGTTTCAACTTGTATTTTTATATAAATATTCACTAAAACCGAAAATTAACCTACTATTAAAACTAGCCTACATCAATTTGATTTTTGCCTCACTTGTGACAGTTCGTTTGAAATGAAACTATCATTCTATGCGTCATTATTCTAAGCCTAAACCTAAAAACTAGAACTACTTGGTCAATATAAGTTACCAATATTTTACTAGTTGTCTGCGCCGTCTTTGCCTTCAGTTCGTTGTATTCATTCAAAGTGTATTTTTCCGTTCGGCGATTTTTTCATACCTTGATTTAAATTTGATTTTAAGTACTGTAAGTGATATTATATTTTGTGACAGTGTTATATACTAGCTTGGCGCATAGTCAGAATACAGAACTTAACGCATTTTGGCGATAATTTGCGCAGGTTGAAAATTTCGTAATCGATTATTGTACAAGTAGGTAGTTACCTCAATATTGGATACCTAGGCATACACAATACAACTAGTAGTATGGTGTCTTTCATATTCAAATGTTTAATTATTTGTTTAGAGGAGGATCATTAAAAAAGATAACCGTTTAGATCGTTTTGCCTACTGCTTTTGCAAATTTAAAAGGATCATTTAAATATATGCCCTGGTTAATGGTGTGTACCCTATACTGGATATCCATTATTACATGTGAAAACATCGTTGATTTTTCTAATTAAAACAAAATAATTATATAAAAAAATAAATGAACATATAAGTTTAATTCATTTTCTAATGTAAAGCTGTAAAGCCTTTAGATAGACAACCGACTGTGACTACAATAGATATAAATTTTAAATATTATATTAGTGTTTTTTTCGAATGTTTAAAACGTACCTATTCGATATTTGGTACGTCTTGCTTACACTTAGAATTTGGTATAAGTAGTTGCATCATTTCAAAAACTAACTGAAATTAAGTAACAAAACTAAGATAAAACTATCTCTTATCAAACTGCGCGATACATATACCTACACCATAAATATGCGCCGCGCGTTTACGGTCCAAAAATAAAAAAATAAACGGAATGAAAAATTTAACGTCAAGTTCTTAGGTTTTCGCGATTGTTACACATAGGAAATGAAACTATTTTTCCGGATTTAAATCGCGTATATTTGTTTTTTCAAACAAACCAACGTTTCGGGCCATTTACAGGACCCATGGTCACGGTTGACACGGCCTGGAAAAATAGTTTCTTTTCCTATGAGAAATGAATACCTTAGTTGCCTTTGCTCCAATATTAATTGTAGGTGCTTTCGAAAAATATAATTTCAAAGAGGATTTACTAGGATCAAAACAAGAGGATATCTACAATCTTTGCATACCATATTGGAAGACAGAGTTTTAGTAACAGTAGAGCTACGTGTAAAAGAGATCGTCCATTGAAATACTGCCACCAAATTCTGTTGCTAAGTAATAATGTAAACATTAGTGCGTTCCGATTTTAAAACTGGTGGAACTATCTCAGGGTGACGGGGGCAGTGGCAGTGCTCCTCAGATCTCTGCGATTAAAGTTGTAAGCGGCACTGCAACTGTTATGGGGAGCCTCTTTGCTTACCGTCTGGTGCACGACTTGCTCATCCCGTTACTTATTACCCAAATTCAAAAACCTTTATTTCAGACAAAAATCCATATAATGTTAGTGATTGCGCCGGTCCTTTGTGGGTTATACTGAAGGGACTTTGTAAGTAAAACCTCCTTGAGACTGCTGACTTTACTTTACTTAATTTTGGAAAATACAAAATAATTGATGTGCACAGTCCGGAGATTTACTACGCAATGAGGACGCCGCCCGGTAGCTGCTGCCTGTTGACATCTGTAGGATCCATTGCTAATGCATATTCGTCAGGCGTCACGAATGGCCTGAACAGTTAGTAAACAAAATAACTTATGATCTAGTGTTAGTATTCATGTTATTTAATTTAAAGCGACAATAAACATAAAAAAAATCAAGGTATGAAGCTAAATCCGTCTTTTTTTTATAATATCAAGTGACGGGATGAACTAGTCGTGCGCCTGATGGTAAACTACACGCTTGTCCATAACAGTTGCAATGCTACTTAGAGCTTTAAATCGCAAAGATCTGAGGGGCACTGCAACTGCGCACGTCACCCTGAGACATAGTTGGTAAGTCCCACGTGCCTGTAATTTCACCAGCACCCTTACCCTTCAAAACCGGAACACAGTAATGCTGACATTACTGCTTGGCGGCAGAAATAGGCAAGGTGGCAGTACTTCCCTGGACGAACTCTTTCACAAGGATCTTTACTGCTACTAAACCATCTCCGCAGAAGTGAGTCATACCCGTTCTGTGAACACACACAGGATGCTGTTGGAGTCCCCGCGGAGGACCCCCAGATGCTCACCCTTTCCTCAATAGGGCCATGAAACCACCTATCTGAATCTCGGCAAACTACTATATCTAACAATAGAAATATTTTTGTTTTCGTTTGAAGTGTACGTACCAATAGCCCAGACGTCAACCGGAGTGCTGTACATGGTGTCTCCGACGAGCAGTTCTGGTGCACGGTACCACCGTGTGGCCACGTAGTCCGTATAGCTCTCACCGGGGCCTGGACATGTATAGGAAATATATCTGTTAGTCAGCTATATCCAGATAAAGAATTAACTGTACCATTATCTTCTTTCGTCTATTATAAAAATTATTTATTTCAGCTATGAAAAAAAACCGACCTTAGAAGTTCTTGGAATTACATCTATTTTCCACATTTTATTGATATGGGTTACCAGTTTGCTACCCTTAAAGGTGGAATACTATCTTCAAATTTAAATGGGACCAATATTGAGGTACCCTCTTTCAAACAAAAAAATCATCAAAATCGGTTTGAAATTGCAAAGAAAAACAGAGTTATCACGTAACGTACATATAAAAAAATACAGTCGAGTTGAGAACCTCCTTTTTATTTAAGTCGGTTAAAACCCATTTTATCGATTAATAATAATAATAATATCTTTATCTCCACAATACAAAACAAAGTAACAATACAGTAGAGAACATATTATTACATACGCTTAGAGTAATGTATTGTGGGAAACTGGAGTCCAAACTAAGCAGAGCTTGTAATATGAGTCTCCAGGCACCTATCCCCTAGGATGTCATACAAATTGACTAAATAAAAGCTAAGTCAGAAATAGATATCCTTAACTGATGAGCATATATGAAAGCATAGACGCGGGTTGTTAAGGCGGACGTTGAAGGCTGTTTATCTCTGCCTACACCTAAAGGGAAAAGGGTGTAAAGTATATTTATTTATTTTATTTTATTTACGCATTTAATTCAGGCCACAATGACCCATGTCAAATATACCATACAATATAAAGTAAATCACTAATGTACACGCGCAATGCGTGTAAACTTGTTGCGACTTGTGGCGCAATCTGGTGTCAGGTAACCAGCCGCGGAATCGCCGATATATGACATCCTTCGGCCAAAACTCTTGCTTGGTGAAGGTGGACAGATGTTAATTTAAATTCACGTTGTGGCGGAACTTCGACCGCTCGACTCTGAGAGTGTATTTGGCTTTTAGAGTGATATACTCCTAACTATCTCCTCAGACTTCGTGGAGTATTGTAGTCGCGATAGATACAGCATCTCTCTCTCTCTCTCTCTCTCTCACGCACGCACGCACGCACGCACGCACGCACGCACGCACGCACGCAC